CATCAGCTTTTCCCTTCAAATAAAGCATTACAGAGAAAGACCTCCTTCCTCCTCAAAATGCTGCAGGAGCTTTGAACAGAAGCCAAGTTTGACTCACTGCAGGGGGGAAGGGGTGCTGATCCAACCTGAATTTGTAATGGGGAATGATGGAACCCCTGGGAATAGCTGGAGGAACAGAGGAGTATTTTGTAGGTACGGGGCTTTGGAGCAGTACTGGCCTCCGCTGGTTGCCGAATGTCACTGAAGAAGTGTTGGGCTGGACTGCTGTGAGATAAGCACTTTAACATGTGAAAACCAGCCCTTCTATGAGACAGTTGGACCCCTTCACTCCAGACTTGTGCCTGTGCCAAGGGCACAGCACAAAGAAAGGCTCGGAGCAGCCACTTGTCACACGCGAGCTCTGCTGTGAGCCAGCTCCGAGCTCAGCCTGATGAATCCTTAAGTTGCTGGTTTTTCCCTTCAGCCCAGGGTTTCCCTTGGCAGTGTTTGCACAGCACACAGAGTGCAGGGGCTGCAGCAGCTGGGGGGTCCCTGGATCAGGGTCAGGTCAATTAAAATCAGCCCAAGCTGTATTTCTAAGGCTCTGCAACACATTTGTGTGCAATGAATGCACTGTGCTGCTGACACTCCTGGAAAGAGCTGAGTCTGCAGCACATGTGTATTTGCTAAACAGGAAAAAAAACATCAAAAAACCCCTTACTGCACCATTCCCAGTCGATGGGGCCAGTTCAGGCCCATTTGCCTCTTTCTGACCTTTGCTATCAATGCTCCTCCCAGCAGATAATTACCCACATGCTGTTTTTTTCCCCTGTAATTTCCTCTAATCTCAAATAAATGCTCTAATTGACCTCTGTCCTCTGAGTGTACATGACACATTGAGCAGGGCTGTGCCCACAAAAGACCATTAGAAAGCACTGTTCACACTGGGGCCACTCCTATTGTGGATGCTTTGAACCAGAAGTCAGACCTCAAATATCTGATGCTGTAAATCATTACCCAGGCAAAATAGATATTTTTCAGGTGGCTGCTAAAGAAAGCCTATGATGTGGAACTGAAATGGTCCATGTGAGCCAGAGCTCACCTCGCCCAGAAGCAGTTTCACAAACAGTTGCTAATTTGCACACTGGACCATTTTGTTTCTGCCCAGACTCTCTGTGCACACCCAGGAGGCTTTTAACCAAATACAGTGCTTTCAAAGTAGCTTGGAATGTTTTCCCCTTCTGGAAATCACAAATTTTAGTGCGAAGAATACCTGCTGCTTATTCCTGCTGCTCCATCCCACAGGCTCCTGGAAGCCCTGAGTGGTGCTTGGCAGCTAACACTTGCTTTCCCCTGCCAGTCACTGTTTTCTAAAGAATATTTTTGCCTCTTAGCTGTGGTTAATGGGCTTTGTCTGTCCCGTATGGATGCAGTCAGGGCATCCCTGAAAGGTGGTACTTAATAGAAGAGAACATGTTGATGAACCTTCCTCCCCAGCCAAGCCCTGGGCTTTTCCCATGGGCTCTGTTGCAGTGCACATACCCAAATGACCTTGGGATTTAAGCTGAAAAACTATTGTTTTCTTAATGCCTACTTGGCTTTGGGGCAGAAATTCCATCACTGCTCTCATGGCAAAGGCTGGTGACAAGGGAGGCTGGTGACATTCCCCAGGGGAGCAGTGAGCCTGTAGCATGTCCTACATTCACTAAGCAGTGCCAGCACAGGTTGCAGCCCCTGCTTTCAGGGCTGTTTTCTCCCCTGGGCTGTTTGATGTCACCTGGCTGGGGTGGCAGTGTGACAGCACAGGGCTGGAGGAGCCCCCAGCCTTCCCCATCCCCAAAAGCAGGGCTCCGGCGTAGCTAATCCCCTGCTGCCAGCTTCCACAAACAATGTCCCTCTAAACACAGCTGGGGAAGGAGAAGAGGGAACTTTATTTTGCAGCCATTTGTGGTAGTGTTCACACCTACAACCCCAAGTGCTTTCTCTGTTTACGCACCAGAGCAAGTAATAATAGTATTTTTCATTGATACAGTGATTTTCATCTCTAGGACTCTCTGCAGACCTGGCCTGTGGTCTGGGGATGGCCTCACCTGAGCAGGTGAACTCCAGTCATACACAACAAAACTGTGCTCCTTGTCTCTGCAGAGATTTTGGAAATATCACCCGCCTGCTCAGCACCTTCCAGGGAGCTTCGGTCTCATCTCACCCAGGGCTGCATAAGGGCCCAAGGGATGTTTCTCAAGGCTCAGTCTAGGAAGTGGTTCCACCTGATGGAGTTGCCTTTAGCTAGATGGGGACTTCAGGAGTGGAATGACTGAAAGCTCTGCTCTCTCCAGTATCAGAGAAGCCCTGCTCAGCAGGGAGGAGCAGGCAGGACTTCTCTGGAACTCCCTTTCTCTGGAGATATTCAAAACCAACCTGGACACAACCCTATGTAACCTGCTCCAGGTGAACCTGCTTTAGCAGATCTCCAGAGGTTCCTTCCCAACCATTCTGTAATTCTGTGGTTTTCTGGCTCACTGTCCTTAGTGACTGGGCTGCCATGTGCATCACCTATGAGAGATGAAGGCAGGAGGCAGAGGAGCAGTGTAAAACATGGCCAGGTCACTAAAAATAAGAAATGAAAAGCTGAGCGTGAATTTGCAGGAACTGAAAGCAGGTGTAGGATGGACTGAGAGCCGTGGGACAAAACAACTGAGTCACAGAGCAGCAGGTCTGAGAGCAGGAAAGGTAAAACAAATATTGTTGAATTGGCTTAAGACTGCGATCAAAGCTGAGATTGCATTCCGGTTCTACACACTGAGCTGTTGTTCTATCCTGTTCTAATTTCTGCCAGTGTTATTGTTGGAGGAGCAGCTCCACTCGGGCTCTCAGCTCCTGAAGGAAACATGAGTGGGACTTCAGGAAGGGTGGGTTTAGATTAAACATTAGAGAGAAATTACGGTCTTAAGCTCTGCCAGGGGAGGTTTAGGTTGGATAAATTTTTACAGAGAGAGTAATCAGACATTGGAATGGGCTGCCCAGGGAGGGGGTGGATTCGCCATCCTTGGAGGTTTTTAAGACGAGACTGGATGTGGCACGGCAGTGTTGGATCAAGGGTTGGACTCGATGATCTCGGAGATCTTTCCCAAGCTGGCTGATCCTGTGATTCTACGATTCTATGAATTCTTCCCTGCGAGCGCGGCGAGGCACCGGCACAGGCTGCCCAAAGATGTGGCCGCGCCCCGCCCCTGGAAGCGTCCGAGGCCAGGCTGGACGGGGCTTGGAGCAACCCGGGTCTAGGGAAAGGCGTCCCTAAACCACGGCAGGGGTGTGGAAAGGGTCTGATCTCTAAGGGTCCGGTGCCATCGCCCCGTGCCTGCCCCGGGCTCTGCGGGGCGGGGCCGGCGGGGGCCGGGTGAGCGCGGCCGGCGGGGCGGGGCCGGCGGAGCGGGAGCGGCGGGAGCATGGAGCGGGCACCGGGAGTCTTCGGGGGACCCAAGGTGAGCTGGCGGCGCTGCCGCGGGCAGGGCTGGGAACGGGCATGCACCGGGAGCAGCGGAGCAGGGAGAGGTGGCCAGAGCTGGCTGGAGCTGTGCGTGTCCCGTCAGCGCCGAGGAGATGGCACTAAAGGTGCCCGCGCTGGCTGTGCCCAGGGAGTTTGGGTGGGTGCCTTGCCCTGTTCCCTGTAACACTGCAGCCTCTGTGCTGAGCTGATAGTACAGGGATTTGCCTTGGGAGCAAAACTTCAAAGCTAAAAATTAAAAAAAATAAAAATTTACAAAGGTGATCCTTATTGTGGGGACTGCAAATGCACAGGTGTGTTCAGAGTGATGTTGTCTTTGACTAAACCACTTCTTGAGTACAGCCTGACCCCTGACTCTTGGCACGGGTCAGAGCCTGGTGCTGCTGAGGCTGCATGGAGCTCAGCCATACCTTACACAGTGGTACCTTGTGTGCTCAGTCCTTCAATAATGGGGTACAGGGACGCTCTTGGATAAACTTCCTGCATCCACTTGTCAGATGTGATGGCAGTGAGAGGCTGGCTTGGTGCTGCACAGAGTGCAAGGGCTCTGTTTATTGCTCCAGCTGGGGGTGGGTGTGAGATCCGGGGGTGGGTTGATGAGGACGTGGCCCTGCCATCCCATGGGAGGCATCACCTGTGATGACACACAGCCACCATCACCTGTTAACGTCACCACGAGTTTTGTCACCACGAATTTTGTACCGAGGTCAGTGAAGGTTGAGTAGTTGGTGCTGGGAGGATGGTACCAAAGGCTTCCCAGCACAGGAGTAACCTCTTCCTCAAGCACCAAACCCCTGTATCATGTCAGTGCTTGTCTGGAAAGCATGCATGTGTTTTGCAGCAGAGCAGTGTGTTGTGTGGGTTTTGCAAGTCTCCCGTGTTTCTCTTTCAAAGACTCAAGCCTTAAAGCATGTGGCAGATTCATCTCCCAGATGCATTTGTGGGTGTTGCCAGGTTTGAGGACAATACTGTGCCCCTTCAACTTCACATCCCTCTTGAGCCACTTGCACCTCTTGCTCCTAAATGAGTGTTTGTGGTGAGCTTAGGATGAGGATAACTTTGCTCCTGACAGGACACTTCCATAAAACCAGTATTTGGGAAACACAGTTCATTCTTTTTTGCAGTGGTTGCCATTTGTCTTATCTCTTGTTCAACTTTGCTCTCCATTAACATTTGCCTGCCACACTTATCTAATAATTGACAAATTACAGCTATAATTGCCCTGTTTTTCAGCTATTGAGATTAATAGAAGGAATTTAAATTATCAGCTTTTAATGGCCTGATAAGTAATCCTGGGCAAAGTCACTGTTAAGGGTTTTGAAATGATGCCACTTTACCAGCTGCAGTTGGTGTTACTTCTACTGTGGTGTTAGGACTGACTTTGGTCATTGTATGTATTTTAAGAAAGACTCTAGAACTACCTCATACAGGAAATCCTTCAAGTGCCTTAGCTTGGATGGCTCTTTTTATGCCATATAATAGGCAAACTGAGCAGTTAACTGCTCTGCCATGGCCTGCTGAGCAAACTCTAATAGAGAAATTGTATTGGATTTACGTGGCTGAAAATACTTGGAATGTTTGGTTAACTTTTTCCTCCTAATTTCACTAAATTGAAAATAATGAGACTTGATCTTGGAATGGAACATACTTGTTTGAGTACCTAATTTTGTGTTTGAATTTATTTTTGAAGCTTATTAAGTCTCAAAGAAAACATTACAATATTGCCAGAGAAGTCACGCCAGAGCCCTTAAAACTTCTCCTTTTTAAAATCCGAACCAACTTGCTGATATCTGCACCAGTGAGTCACGTGCCCTGGTTGAGCTGAAACTTTCTTTTGCATAAAAATGGAAAGCACTGGGTTTGCTCTGATGGCCTTTCTGGGGGCTGTCTGTGCTGAGGACGAACAATTTGCAGCCAGTTACATCTTTTGAACTCATCCCTCTGGCTTTCAACAACTCTTTAGTGAAATTAAAGGTTTTATTGAATTGCACTCTGGTTTTTTGATGCCCTGGCAGGAGATCAGTGGAGGTGCAGAAGGACACGAGTGTGGCTGCACAGAGTTGGTCCTGAGGGTCCTCGCTGCAACTGGGGGAAGAGCAAAGCTCCTGCCCCAGGAAAGCGTTGGAGAGCTCTGCTGCTTTCCTGTTCTTCATCAGAACAAGTGTTGCCACATCCTGTGAGAAGGGAAGGCATCGACCTGGTCGAGTGGGTGGCAACCCTTCCCATGGCGGGGCGGTTGGAGCTAAATGATCTTTAAGTTCTTTCCAACACAAACCTTTCTCTGATTTTATGATCAGTGGTCCTGGAATGGTTGGAGGCTCCTCTGCAGTGATGGTGCAACACTGGTCCTGGACCAGTGTTGAGATCCCCATTTAATTTGTGTGCACAAGCTTCTGCTCCAAATAAACCAGAGGGTTTGGGATGAGCGACCACGTGCCCGTGGAGCTCTGTGTGCCAAGGAGCAGAGCCCTGGAAAAGGCACTGGGCTCCTGCATCCATCATTATTTCTGCTTGCTCAGGTATCATCTCCTGGAGCCACAGTTCAGAGAAAACTCTTTGATCTCTATCTGGGTGCTTTCCTTGGCTTCAGGCAAGGTCATGTCACCCACTTGTGTCTGGAAAAGTCTTGTGCTTTGTTTACCCAAAACAAACACTCAGGAAGAGAGCTGAAATGTAATCTGCAGCGAGCAGCCTCCCAGGGACCTGGAAGCCTGGGGGTTTGCCAGCAAGGTGACCAGGGGAGATGAGCAGCTGGGTTGTGCCTCTGCTGATTGCAGAGCCTTATCTAGAGCCTTTTAGGAACACCTTTCCATCTTCTCTTGAGTGTCCTTTGGCCATCTAAATAGCATAGATTGCTTCTCAGCTGCAGAAAATGACACCCTCAAGCACTGATCTTGGGGAAACCCAAAACTTTTTGGGTTGAACAGCATTGAGCTGCCTTAGTTTAGGTTCCTTCAGACCCAAAGAAATGCTGGTAGGGGAGGAAGAGCCTATTGCTGGTGTTGGAGAGGAACCTTGCTGCTTTACAAGCATCTCACCTGCAGAAGTGGCAGGAGGAGGTGACTTACATGGACAAGGACACCACAGAATCTGCATTCTCGTTGATGGGAATGTCACATTGGGATGTTCTTGCAGGAAACACTTGAGAAGTGTTTGGAGTGAGAAGACCTCAATAGGTTCAGTTGCTTGGTTTTTAAATCCAGTGTGAGCAAGTTTCAAGCCAGTAAGTTTTCTCCATCAGAAAGGGCTGTCAAAGGGCTGTTGAATATCTCAAGGAGTGGAGCTTGCCTGGTTTTGAAATAGGAGTTGGATCTCAAGAGTGGAAAGCATGCCAGGGCTCCACATCTGGCAGTGCAGATCACATCAGTGGTGTGTTATTTTATCTGGTGCTTTCCAGAACATTTAGTCCTCATAAGCAGGATTGTGTAACTTGAGGTGGGGGGAAAAAGCAGATTTTCCCCTTTTTAAATCTTCCTCCCTGTAGATTCAGATAGTATCTTAAGGGTAGGAGAAGTGCCAGGGATATCTTTTTACAGCCTGCTAACGGTGGTGTCTGTGGGCATATTCCTGACCCTCTGGGCCAGCTGATTGCAACAGTGCAGGATCAGCAGCTCAAGCTGTCCTGAGCCTGGCACCAGTGCATGTTGAGGGACATGTCCTGTGGGGATGGGCTGGCCCCCAGCCCTGCCCCTGCCCAGCAGTGAGGGCCCTGTGCAGCAGCAGTGATGGGTGACAGCCCTGGCCGTGGGGTGGGGGTCTCTGCCTGCACAGCAGGGCTGCAGGGCAGGGTGGGCACAGGAGCGAGCTCGTGGGCATCAGTGCTTGGGCACTGCCAGCCCTGTGCCAGGAGCTCACGTCACCTGCTCTTGGACGCTCCCGAGGATCCAAAAGGGTCCAAGGGAGGTGGACAGTCCAGCGTTGCTCTGCTCGCAGGGACCTCTTACTCGTTTTTCTTCCTCGTAGTTATTGTTTGATACATACCCTGATGCCAGAGGGTTTGTGGGTTTTAATTAGTAACCCTGGGTGGTTTAATTATCCATGCAAATATCCAGTCCTCTTCAGAATCTTACTCAGTTCTTACCCTCGGCACCCTGCAGCAAACATCTACGCAGTAGAATGTGCATGATGTTACAACTAACAACTTTGGGTATCAAGTTGCTCAAGTTTGATTAAAAAAATAAAATTAAACATGCATTTTGTAGGCTATGCCGTTACTTAAAAGAAAACAGTTGTGGAAAGAGGAATATCTAGCTGAAACATTTTAAAGCCAATATTTTCCTTCCCAGTTTGACTTCCAAATTACATCTGTCGTGTTCCTCCAAAAGCCCCAGCTGGCTGATGGAAAAAACTTGCTTTTGTTTTTCTGGGGCTCTTTCTCCAAAATCCAATGTTTCAGCAATAATCGAGAAACAGGGTTTCAGAGTGAAAAGACCTGAGTTACTGTCCCATTTTTAATGAGTAAAAATTTAAGTGTTTTATTTTGAAACCAGCTTAGTAGCTCTATGGGAAAACTTGTTATTATTTTTTACAGCATCTTGTACCATGGGACTGACCTCTTGTGTAGGATTAGAGATCCTCTAAGCTCTGATAATACCAAGTAATTAACAACCCATCAGGAGCTGATTCTTGGAAGCGAAGTCAAAGTTTTTGTAATGACTCTTAGCAAATTAATTGGTGTTTGGCTGCCTGTGACTTCAAGGAGGAGTAAGCTGGAAAGCAAAGGTGTTTGGGGTTTGCTTTTTTCATTCTTCCCAGACTCTGAACCACGCAAGCTGAATAAGGATAGGGCAGTTCCTGAAAATTACCGGAAACCGAAAAATTTTCTAAAGAAATTAAATGCGTGAGCTGCAGCAGCTATAAGAAAGTACTTAGATGTTGAAAAATAAACTTTATAATGATTATATTTTAAAAATGTTTCTGTGCTTCCTTGTCATGATTTTGTCCCTGTATTGACTGCATTTATACCCATGTGAGTGCCAGCTACTTATCTCTGAACTTTTGCTGTAGCTCTAAGAATACCTGACCCATTTTTCTTATTGCAGGTTGAGCTTCACGTCCACCTGGATGGAGCCATTAGACCAGAGACAATCTTGTACTTTGGCAGGTGAGTTGTGGGGTGAGGAAAGCTCTGGGAGCTGCAGTTCCAAAGCATCAGCCCTTCTGCTTGTCCAGGTCTGCAACAGAAGAGCTCCTGCAGGCAGCAAACCTGGCTGGTGCTGGTGCTGTCTCTGCCCAGATGGGTCCTCTGGCTGCACAGTGTGGTGACACTGAGCACATCCCAAAGGGTAGTGGGGCTGCACAGTGTGGTGACACTGAGCACATCCCAAAGGGTAGTGGGGCTGCACAGGTAGCAGGAGCATGAGCAAGGTGGTCATGGGTTTGTGAGCCGGGCGAGCCAAGAGGAGCCACCATGAGAAAAGCCCCGAAGGTGTCTCATAAACAGCTGCCTGCCTTTGAAGTATGGCCAGGACAGGGCAGAGTAGCTGTATTCTGATTCCTTTTTCCATGTTCCTAATTGCAGAAGCAAGTGAAATGACAGCAGGTGGGAGCGTTGTCTTGGTGGTGGTGGTGCCGTTCCACGGTTTGGGAGGAAAAACCCACCTTACCCTGCTGCCTTTGAACCCCGGGCTGTGTGCCTGGTGTCAGCAGTCAGGGAGTCACACTCGCGTGTGGGTGACCCTGGGAAGCACTTGGCAGTGACTTGGAGAGAGGTTGTTTCCTTGACAGAGCCCACGCGCATCTTCTCCCTTCAGCCTAGATGGTGTGGGAAGCACTGGGTGAATGATTAATTGGTGTGAGGACCCGGCTCCATGCTTGCAGGCAAAATAAACAAGATTTCTTCCAGCTGTCACTGATACCCTCAGATCAAGAAGGTTGTGAGCTTAAGGATTTCAGGGAACAGCTCTCGGGCACAACTCTGGTACTCTGGGGAGGAAATCAGTTCTGAGGAGGATGGGAAGTGGTTCTGGCATCCTTTGAGCCCAGCAGACTCCAAGGCAGTGCAGTCCTAGGGGGAATATTCTTTCCACAGTAGCTATTTCTGCAGGGCATGGCCATACCTTTTGCAGTGAAGTCAGAGCAAGGAGGGTGGATCAGAGCTGCCCATCCCATTCACTGCAGGATGTTGGCACTGAGCTGAGTCAGGGTTCCTGCTGGTGGGCTGTATGGCTGGAATACAGGTCCAAAGGGACAGATGGGTCTGTGGTGACTCCCTGGGGCTCTGCAGGGTCCCTCTGCCAGCAAAGGGAAAATGCCAGTGTAGTCCCTGAGGAGGGCTGCGGGAGCCCTGAAGCCCAGGAGGCACTGGCTGTCTGGGGATCCTGTGCCAGGATCCTTGCTTAGGGCAGAAACCTTCATTGCCTGTGTGTGTGCCGAGTTGCCTCTTATTTTTAAACAGCCCTGGCACCCCCCAGAGCTGCCAGCCCTCGGGTGGAGCAAGGCTGTGCTATTCGTGAGCTCTAAAACTTGCACTCATGCACAAAAAAAGCAGTGGGGCAGTGCAGGAGGCTGTAGGGGACTGACTGCCTTAATAACCTCACCCTGGGCACAGAAGGCTGCTTGTGATCTATTTTTAAAGGTAAATAACTGGAAATAAATTTGCCAGGTGGTGGCATAATATAACCCCGAGCTGCTGGGATGCACAAGGTCCCTTGGGCAGTGCACTGCTGAACTTGGTGGTTTTTAGAAACTTTGTCTCCAATTCTGTGAGGTCCGGGCCAGGGTTTGCATCCCCTCTGCCCAGCCAGAGGGTTTAGAGCCATGGCAGATCCCTCATGGGACTGGGTGTCCCCAGGAAAGCTGCCCTGTCCGAGGTGGGACGGTGTGTGTGGTGCTGCCCATGGCTGGAGGTGGCTCTGGGCAGGGCACCGAGGTGCTGGTGGGCACGAGCACGTTCCCTGGAGCAGCTTTGCCTCAGGAAGGATCCCACCTACCAGCAGGGTTGGATGGGGCGGCAGCAGCTCCCAGAGCCTCACTGGCATGATCCACCAGACCTCCTCATCGAGAGACCTGACTCCAGAGTGGATCATCCCAAAGCACTGCTGCTGCTGCCTGTGCAGAGGCAATCCTTCGGGAAGCATGGGAAAATGCCAGGGAAGTGGCTTTGCTGTAGGAAACTTTCCCTGGGCAGGTGAAGGGAGGTGCATGCCGGTTCCTAGGGCAGACACTGATGTGTCAGTGCCATGGAAAGGGCAAGGCAGGGAGGAAAACCAATGCCTTGGCAACGATGAGTGTTCCCTGCTGAGTGCCAGCAACTTAATCTGTGCGGATTGCATGTGAGGGCTGAGCGTGGGGCTGGTTTCCTTCCTGGCTGAGGGGGGAAGGAGCAATGTTTACTGAGCCCAGGAGCAGGGTCCTTTGGACTGTGTCCCTGCATGGCTCTGTGGTGTTTTGTCTCTATTAGCAGAGATCCACCAATTAGCTGTAATTCATTGTGGCAGGAAAGAGGATTAAAAACAAATGTCTAGTTATTATTCCAAATTTATGTTGGCTTGTGCAAGGTACCAGAGTGTGGGGGTGGCAAAGCCTGCCCAGGAAGCCTTCAGCACCCTTGGCTGGCAGCCTGGCTGTTGCCCCACTGCCCTGGGGACACCTTCCCCCACACAGTACTCCAGCTGCTCCAGGGAAAAATGGCTTCTCCCCTCTTGGAAGTACTTAAATGGGCTTTAGCATCGCTATCCCTTTGGTGAGAGCAGTTGTTTCCATTTGCTCCTGCGTGGAAGGTGTCCCTGCCAGAGAAGATGCCACCACAGTGCTGGGCTCAGGAACCATCTCACTCACAGGAACTGAACCCCTGAGCCACGACACTTCTGCCTGCATGATCCCAGGCCTTGGAGCATCTCCTCGATTTTTCAAACCTTTGAGCCTGCATAAGTGGATATTGACTTTTCTAAAGAATTTTGGTAATTCCTAGGACTAGGAGGTGCCAAGAAATAATCCAGAGCCCCTTTAGATGAACTCCTTCTTAAGCTTAAAATGTGCCCTGGCTGTGTTCCTGCAGGGTCAGTCTGGGCTTGTCTTTCGGTTTGTTTGTGCTTTGCCTGTGTTTTGGATTGCCTTCCTCCCCCCTGAGATTCAGGGCAGCATCCACGAGGAGATTTTGGAAGGACAGCATGTGCTGTGTCTCTCTGTGAAGGAGCGGTGGTTGATGCTGCCAGCTCGGGATATGATCGCTGTGTGAAATGGATTGATCAAAAATGTGATACCTTCTCTGTCAGTAACACGTGCCTTCATTTGCAGGAAAAGAGGGATCCCTCTCCCCGGCGACACTGTTGAGGAGCTCCTGAAGTCTGTCAGCTATGACACACCGCTGACACTTCCCCAATTTCTAGAGAAATTTAATTACTACATGCCCGCTATTGCGTAAGTACCCTGCTTTTTGCTTCTCCCCCCTCAACCCTTGGCAGCATCCCTTGGCTCAGCCTTGGAGGTTCCCTGTGTGCCCTGGGGGTGAACAGTCCCAGGTGACGGGTCGCACTGCTGTCCCTGCAGGGGTGACCGTGAGGCAGTGAGGAGAATCGCCTACGAGTTCGTGGAGACGAAGGCAAAGGAAGGAATCGCCTACGTGGAGGTCCGGTACAGCCCTCACCTCCTGGCCA